TGATTTGAAAAGCAGAGATGTGCCCTGACCTGTGAGTATCTGCAGGCGGATCTGCGTTAGCGTGGTGAGGGTGGTTTGGTAGAGGACACAGATACTGCACACTTTCTGCACCTCCGCCGAGTCCACCCGCTTGCCTCCCACGGGCTTGAGAATGTTGCGGACAGACGCAGACTTCTGGAAAGCTCTCTTGAAAAGATCTGGGTGGCAGAGAAGCACGTGAGACGTTGGCTCAGGAGACAGCAGCGCTATTCCAAACTGCTCGTTCTCAGCCACTCGGCAGCCACGTGATAAAGGGGATTTTAAGCAGACTAAGTGCAGGTTCTGGTGGACTTTTCTGGCAGAACAGCGTATGGCTGCTAGCAACGCGGAAGCATATTTTCAGTTTCTAAGTCTAGATCTTAACGCCTTGCCGGAACAGCAGTAACTAATGACCACGGGATCTAGCTTTACAGGCAGCAGCTAGGAAAGAGCTGGATTACAGCGACTGCATTCCAGCCACTCCTCTCCACAATCACCACACACCACAGGTCCACGAGCCAGCTTCACCTTGCTGTTCACCCAGGAAGCTGCCCTCCCATCTTGCCTCAGGAACTATTAATTTATGCAGTAAGCAGTTCAGCTACTTGAGAAACAATAAGGGAAAAAAAACCAAACCTGCTAAAATAAGCAAATATTTTCACAGCACCAAAGTAAGAGACTTGCCCCAGGTCACAGAGGCATTCTGAGGAGGAATTACAGACAGGACAGGCCATAGCCCCACCTAAGCAGCAGCAGCTGCTGCAAGTAATTACTCGGAGCTTTTAGCATAAGTGGAAAAGTCAAAGCCCTGCAAGCCTGGGAGAAAGACATGTGTACACACACACACACACACACAAAAAAAAAAGCAACCCTCCAGAACTGACTCTTCATAGGAAGGCTGTTCTGCGGGGAAACTGGCTGTGTTGGCAGCTGAGCTATTTCCTGATTCTCCAGCAATTTCTTGCTGAGCACATCACTGAAGAGGATGCGGATCATATGGACTCCCCAGAGATGCTGCAGTTGCTTTGTCAGCAGAGGCATGGACTCATTCAAGCTAAAAGAAAAGTCAGAGAGACATGTTAGAAGGCAGGCTGGAATAAAACACCCGACAGTGATACTCTGATACATTTAACTCAGAGTCAAAATGGAGTATGTGTCCACCCTACAGTCCTCCCAGGAAGAGCTGATATACAGGCCCTGTATCAGGTGTACCAGCATGGCCACTGTTTACCAGTCTAATTGTTTAACCAGTCTAACTATACTAAATTGATTTCCTCACGTAATAAGTCTGTATATGAGTGCAGCAGTTTATACTCTGCAGATATAAGCTGAAATATCTGAGAAGTTATTCTGAACAAGGTCACACTGTTCCTCTCAAAACATAAAAACACACTGCAGCATTAAAAAAAAAAAAAAAAAGCAGCTTAATCATCTATCAGCATAAGGTTCTCCTCACTTACCCATAATCCACAGTCTGTGAAAACCAGCCCAGAACAGGATGCCAGTGGGTGAGGTTGGATTTCTTTTGTGAAACGTACTTCTGGCAGTAGGAGAGCATGTGAATGAGCACACCCACAAAATGAGCTGTCTCCTCCTCAAGGACTTTATCATTCAGGGAGCCCAGGTACACGAGGTTACCTGGCGGAATGACCAGCACGGGAAGACTTGAGAGAGAAACAGATCCTGTGCGACAGCGGTTACAGACGTACCAGACTAAATGACCTCACGCCCCTTTTCATATCCAGCAGAGGATTTCTGTGAAGAATGACTCCTAGAGGTGACCCTGCAGCAAGCCATTTCCAGCACATATCGGCCACTAAGGTGGCATATCACTTTGGCCACCTTCTCATCTGTGTCACACCAACACCTGTCACTAAGCACCATATAAGCTACGGAAGATCCACGGTTATCCCCAAGTTCCAACTGTTCCTCTTGCTACTTTTACAGTAACGTGAACGTAAATATTTCAATAGCGCATCCATTCAGGGAAGTTAGATTCAAAACTGCTACGCTGCAAGACTTTCTCAGTGTCCAAATGAAAAGCTAGCAGAGATAATACTTCACACTTCAGAAACGATGACATGCATACAAAAGCAAGTCTCCAACCCTTCCTCCATTTGCAAGGGCCTTAAATCATGTTTGCAATATCCCCAGATAAATCTTAATTATTATTTAGAAGCCATCTAAATAAGGATAAAAACTAATGAGTTGGAGGCAGCTCTGACCCAAGAAGATTTGACTCAAGGCTCTCTTCCATGCACATTAAAAAGAGAGGTGTTACAGGTGCTTACCTAACAAACAAAGGGTGTGACTTCCTTCTAAGCACACACAGACATCTTGGCATTGCGCTTCACGACTCAAAAAGAGGATGAACTTGCGGAAAAGATCATGAGATTCTATCACTGCCAGACGCTGAAAGAGAGAATTTAACTGCCAGCGAGGCCGAGAACCACCACACAGAACCACCACACCTGGTCTGCCGTCAGCAATACAAGTTGTCTTTTCTTTCCAAATAAAGCAGCAAGTTGAGACTGTTACACTGAAGAGTTTTGATGTGAAGCTGGTCTAGGAAATCAGAAAAACCCTCCAGGTGAACAGGCCATGTTCTAGTTGCAGACAGGCCTTTGCAACTGTCTGTCTGCAAAAACACAAGAGCGCCCACTTGGCACAAAACTTGCCTGTTGGCACCAAGCAACACAGAGGAGCAGTCAAATTAAATTAGACTAGTGGACGGTCTACTAGCTGCCATCACAGATTCTCCGCCCCACAACAGACCGATTTCTGCTTTGGCTCTGTCTGTGGTTACAGAAACTGAAGAATAAGGACACACGGAGATTGAAGCTGCGTGTCACGTACGCCTTTATTTTTATTTATTTGGTTTAGGGCAGTTCAGCCCATCATCCCACTGGTGTTAATAACGTCTGTGGTATTAGAAACCCAGTGTCTGAAGGGTGCAGGGATCAAGCCCTTCCACAGCAGCACTGGAGGCAGGGAAGAGAGGAATGCCAACGCTCTGTTCCAAGAGCTGATAAAATGGTATAGCAAGTGGTCTTGTGTCTTATTCGGTGGATTTTTGGTACTATTACATCACCCACTTACCTCAGGTGTTAGAGTAGCAAGGTGAGTCATTATAGCAGGCACAGACATGATATGGATCAGAAAGGACCTCAACAGATTGTCTGAAAACTGTGCAGCAACCACGGGGCTAGAGAGAGAGGAATATTTCAGTGCAAGAAACTTGACCTAGAGCAAAGCCAGAGCAGTCTTTAACCGAGCCATTCAGGGCTGGTTGCTGATCCTACCCTCATCAAGAAGCATCACTGGAAAAAGAACATTCACTTACACCTTTGTTATCGTAGCAAGTTCACAAAACTGCTTGTGACTCAAAGGAACACAAGCCAAACCATTCACAGCATAATGTATTTTAACACAGCACATCTGTACCACCCAGAGCACTGTCAGGCTTATACGATTCCTCTCCCAAGTTTCCCTTCTCCCCACTGCCATAAAAATCAGTAATCAAATAGTTGTTTTCCTTAGGAAGAAGTTACTCTACTGCTACTCTACTGAACATCACAACCCCATCATCCCAGCAGTGACAGCTACAGAAGGGAACTGGCACACAATGAACCCCTGCAGGCTTACAAGAATGCTTGTGACTGGCTACAAGATTTCCAAAGCAAAGAGGCACCGGCTCTGCAGAGATGAGGTCAGGGTAACAGCATACTTCTCTTATTTTTAAAACAGACTGAACCATGAGGAAGACCTGCACCTAGATCTTGCTTCAGGGACAAACTTTGCCCCCATAAATTGAGTAACAGGTCTATCTGCATCAGCAGTTCATTGTGAAGAGGCACAACCTTATTTATCTAGAGAACTCCAACCCCTTCTGATGGTTTAACAGAAAGACATAAAAATCCTGTACTCTGAACTGGAATTGCACTCCAAAGTCTCGTTAGTCATACTAACACTAATTACTGACTCAGGAGCATTCTGATCTGAAAAAGGATGACAGGGAAGTCAGTTATTTGCCTAAAGCAGCTTTTTTCATGAGGGTGATACACAATGGCACAGAGACTGGCAGAATGAGAAGTCTTCAAACACACAAGAAACACAACTTGAGCTGCACAGCACGCCAAGCAGCTCTGGCTGCCTTACCGCAGGGCAAGAGAGAAGATGGCAGTTAAAGAGCCTTTGGACAAGGAAGGTCTGGATCTCGCCAAGCCATTAGTTAGCAAAATCTGGAACAAAGAAAAAAAACAAAAAAACAACAAACTACAACAGAACCCCCCAAAAAAACCCCGGCAGATTATGACTACTCCTGAAAGACATTGTGTTTATTTTCAGAGCAGAGAGAAAGAACACCACCCAAAAACCAGTCACTACAAGTCATTTGGCAGAACTAGAAGGGCTTCAGGTTAATAATGGCGTAACAGAGGAACTGAAATCAAATTGGACACTCTGCAGCACTTATTTCTCTAGGATCTGTACCCAGGGTTCCCAGACCTTTTCAAATTTACAGGCAAGACTCATAGCTGCCTGGTAATATCGTTCTCATTTAAAAGATTAGAAGAATTACGTCAGTTCTTTTCCCCTTCAGAACAGTAAACAAACCAAATCCATACAAAAGGGCAACAGCAAAGTTTGGAAAAACATTCAAGAGTCCTTCCTGTCCATCTCATTATGAGATGATTAAGTAGGATTTAGACTCAGCCATAGTGACATAAAGGAGACTGTATTTGGTCTCAAGTGTTTTGAAGAAAAATATGCCCACACGCACATTGGCAGCGTTCCACAACCAGCTTCTCCCCAACACACCACCACAGAGATCGTAACAGCTTCCCCAGAACGAGGGCCACAGCACAGGACTGGGGCTTGCCTGGAATAAAGGGAAGACATAACTGTATCGGCCCGAGACTGACCTGCAGCACAGAATAAAATCCCTTCTGGTTTAGATGTCCCATGATGTTTGCACAGATGTGGTTCATGGCAGGCCTCAGGCTTTCACCTTCCGGGTTAAAACAGATGTTACTCACTCAGCGTCACAGCTCCACTCTTTACTTCCTTACAAACTATAAAACAGTTTGTCAATTCATAAGCCCTTCCTGCACAAAGCCTTCACCTTATAGGCAAAACCACCATTTCAGCAGCATCTCGCATCAAGTCGTGTTGAAGGTCATTATTTCCTCGTGGTATTTGTCTGCCTTTCCTACAAAACCCCAGAGCTAAACCCACAGTCCATTATCCTCTGAACACTTCTTGCGCGTGAGATTTTAGAGCATTACAAAAATGTTGTAACTGTTGCTGTTCTAAGGGAAACAGCCTGTCTAATCTCAAGACAATCCTTGCTGCCCGTTCTATGCTTTGTGCAAGCACAGAAGCATAATGAATCTTTGTGGCAAGCATGGGGAGAAGAAAATGTGCAGAAACAGCGTTCAGTAGATTTTAACAGCAAATCCCAGAGCAGTTTCAAGTATTGAATTGGATACACCAACCTTTTCCCCGAAGGATTTTCCACGTAGAAGTATCTGTGAAGGTGACGAGCATTGTGAGGTGCAAATTGACCAGCCTGGAGTCTTGTAAGATGTCTGGCTGCCGTAACAAACACCAGGGTTAATAAATCAAATTAGCTCCGGGCCACACTACAGAACAGTTACATGCAGCGAGACAAAACACAAAGAAAATATTTACCTTAAGCTGCTTGAGAAATTCACAGCAAAACCACAAAATGTCTTTGATTTGTTTGATCCACAAGAGCGTCAGGTCCTTGGAGAGTGCCAGCGACACGTACCACACCTGGGGAAGGCAGGATACGAACAGAGTGGTGATTAGTATCCCTGCCACGGACTGGCAGAATACACTATTGCCAGGAAGCTTCGTGACAAAACGACCTCCTCAGCGCCCACCGAACTGGCAGCAGAACTGTTATTTCTGCCCCCAGAATCCACTGGTCAAAGCACGCTACCCAGCACGGAAAGAAATTGCCAACTCCTATAGCTGTACACAGAGTTAGAATATCTGAGGAATACTGAAGAACTTGTCCAAACTTTCCCCATGGAATCTCAGCAGCGTTCCAGGGTTTTTAAAAGCTAAAAATTCAAATATCACCAACCTAAATCCCCCCACACAGAGTTAAAGAACATCCAACCCTCCCACCCCCAAACAAAAGGGCACCCTGCTGACCTTGGGCTCGTTCTCAACATCCATACTATTCAGAATACAACGGCACAGCTTTTCAAATCTCTGGGGGGGAAAAAAAAAGAGAAAAAAAGAAAGGCAGCGTTAGTTCTAACTACAGGAAGGGCTATTCTGGAAGAGCACCAGGAACAGCTCAGCAGAGGGAGCAAGATACCTCTGTATCGTACCCACAAATGTTCCAAACACATTCCCTGCAGACAGTGCCAACGGGTCCTGCCCTGAGAGCGCAGCTACACGTCACGCTGCAGCTCCGCAGAAGTTCCCTCCTCAAACACATCAACAGGAGGAACTGCTCAGCCTTCCCTGCTAAACTGTCTCCCTCAACAGCACGGGCTGAAGCCCGAAGCATCTTCCTGCTGGGGTTCAGCGCAGCAGTGTGCTCCAAACTCAAGCTGAACTTGGAGATCACAACCACAACTCCTGAATTATTATTTCATCCGGTTGTGTTTGCCACACGCTTGCTAGTTACAAAGTCATTCTGGGGGTGCTGTGGTTATCCTAACGGAGAGCAGCGCCCAGGAGCAGAGTGGGAACGAGCACAGTCTAGTCCTCGGCCCAGCAAGGGACTGATTTGCTGCTGGAAGGGGAAGAAGTAGTAGAACAGACATATTTCAGCAACGCACCCAATTATTGTAAACTTCAAATGGATGCCAGGCACTTTAAAAATTTGTATGTAATATACACATTGGTTTTTTGATGCTGTACATACAGAAAGACTGCACTTGTAGCAATTGCACCATCATCAACGGGAATTTGATGGAACAGAGATTTAAAAAAAAAAAAAAGTCACCCGCTGCTGCTGCAATTTAAATATAACCTTTCATTTTCCCATTGTTTTCCTTATAATTATCCCTCACAGTTTCCTGGGGTAGGTATCATCATTTCACACACACTACAGCAAAGGGCTTCACTCAGAAACCACAAATTCAGGCCACGGTCAGAAAAGCAGTTGCGACACAAAGAGCCCGTGCACTAGGCTCTGCCAGGACAGCTCTCTGGGAGCTGGCCACAACGTACCTGCCCGGGGAACCAATGCAGCTGGCAAAATCGTAAGGCACTGCTTGATTACTGGAGTTGGCACAGTCACCAGGAAAAACATTTGTTAAACTATGCCCTGAATATGGAACCGCTGCTTAAAAAACTCAACGGTTCCTCTATTTCGTTCCTACAGGCAGATCTCTCCAAGGAGGACTAGGGAGGCAGAGATCACATTTCTGAAGGCAAAAATATATTACAGGAACCTACAGGACCACTAGATATGTAATTAAAGGCATTTAACATGTTAAAATAAATAGTCGAAAGAAGAAAAGCATGTCAGAGTAGCAACCTCACCTCTTTGTCTTCTTTATGATTAAATACAAACAGGAGTTTCCTCGCAATTCTGAAGACAGAAAGAGCACTCCTTTTACTTGAGCTGGATTCATTTGCCCCAAAGAAATCCTCCACTTCTCTCCTTTTGAGACAAAAAAAACCCGAGCATCGTTAAAAAAAAAAATCAAGCACACCTCTCCAGATAAGAGCAAAGCTGGAAGGTAGAACTTCACACACCTTATCTCCCTCTGCAGGCGGCATCGGCAGAGAAATCTCCTGATCAAAGCCTGGACCTGGACTGCGGCACGTTCCCTCTCCTTCAGCTCCCTCCGCTCCTCCCGAGCCTGGCGTGCTTTGTCCAGGAACTGGGCTTTGGAGGACTGGCTCGCGCTGAACATTTTTGTCACCTACCAAAAAGTAAATTTAAGGCAACAAAGAATCACTGCAGCAAATGCCTGGAAAACTGGGAGCAGAGTGGACAAAACTCACAGGCGAGGGTAATTCTTTACATCACTTCTGAACTGAGTACCTGCACCCAACATTTAAGAAGGGGAGTACTCAACAGTGTAGAAAGAAGAGTGCACAAAATACAGCCTAGGCAAAGCCAGGGTTACTCGTCAGTGGGACTGCAATAACCAGAATAATTCCAGCAAAATTCACAACCTAATGCAGGCAAGTAGATTTTAAGAGGAAAAAAAAATTTTTAAAAATCATTGTCTTGTCAGTGTGTTCGACTCCCTGTACTCCAACTTCCTTTCCCAGTCTTAGTTGTTCTCATTTTCTTGTTTGCAGATAACATATAAGAACAATTCTACAGGCAAGGATAAGAGAGAAAGGGCACACTCAGAAGCTGATTTATTGCCACTGAACAAGGCAAAATGCAGAGTCAACAACAGCTTTATAAATACTCGAGAGTGAACTCACCTGAGAGCTCACTTCTTCAGAAGAATTGTATGAAAATCATTTATACACCAACATGATCCTCATCCACTGGCTCCAGGCAGCTCCTGCACAGATAAGCACATGATTTGAGATTTAGTCTTTACCGTTGCAGATCTAAGGTTTTTTGGCCAGACTTACTTCTTGCTATGCCCTCAAGAAACTGTGAAGTCAGAAAAGCTTCAGGAGAGGATAAGCAGCACCACCGCTCAGTTGTGGCCGCGGGTACACGCAGCTCCCGACACTTCAGCGTGGGGGAAAAAAAACCCAACCTGATGGGTGACAAAAGCAAAGCCCAGCCTCAACCCTGCCAGGGCCCGGCGTGCGGGCGAGCCCCGAGCAGCAGCCGCCCCAGCGCAAGCGTTCCCTAATTCACCAGAGCCGGGTCAGGACTCACCTCGGGACCCCCACGCCCCCCCCTTCACCACGAGACGCCACGGGCCCGTCCCGGAGCCCTCGAAACCCCAGAGCCCCCCCCCCGGGGCCCAAGCAC